GGATGGATGGATGGATGGGTCAGTGGGAGGATGAGTGAGTGGATGGATGGGTCAGTGGGAGGATGAGTGAGTGGATGGATGGATGGGTGATTGAGTGGATGGACATACGGATGGACAGATTTCAGCTGGTCATTTAGTTTATTTTAAGAGTTTACTGAAGAGGATTTGCGACCCAAATGCAATCAGCTGATTAACAAAGCATCAGAAAGTGACCCAATCATTAATTTCGTCCTTTGTAAGATGCACAGACTTCAGAGTGTTTGTGATGTGCTGCTTTTCTTTATCACACTTGCACAGCACACGCTGTTCTAGGACAGCAGCACAGGTGTGGATGGACGCTGGTGAGGAAAATGAGCTACATTAACACCTGCTGAGGCATTCTGCGCAGTAACCTAAATGTTAATGACTCGAGCAGTTGGCAAGAAAATGGACGGGATAACAAGCTCTGACGAGGCCTGTCGAGTTAATCAATGGCCATGACATCCGATGAGACCGTTGTAAAGGACCAGACAAACACACAAAGGTGCAGTCAATGAAGAGCACAATGCCATCTCAGCAAGTGACAGCTCAGCAGCCAGAAGTGAGAAGGAGGAAAACTGTTTTACAGAGTCAATGTCTGATGAAATGCACCACATCCACTCCAAGATTCCTCAAATGGAAGCAGAGTGGAGGGGGGTTTCACAGCAGGAGGATCGGTGTGTTACAGAGCAAATAAATCAGCCACTTGGCATCGAATGTCGTCAGACAGACTGCGGGCATGTTTCAATCAACAGGCCAAGGGACGCACTGACAGCGTGCGGCGGGGGATTTAAAAAAAAAAAAACGAGTACACGGAGCACGAATGAGATATGAGACGCCGGCAAGAAAGACATACATCAAGCTTGAAGACATCACCAGAGGATGAACTGAGTGAAGACAGTCCCACAAGACATGAATATGGGTCATATATATTTCTGGAGCTCATATTTGTAGCCATGTTAACTTGCTGTCACGCACACAGTTAAGCACAAAGTCTCATGAATTCTTTTGTATTCCCTTCATATGAACTCCACTACAAAAATGATCTGAAAGCAACTTTTATGGCAGTATGATACAACATAGCATAAATGTTATACTGTAAGCTAAAGTGCTGTAATATTAAAGAGCATTTAAGTGTCAATACATGGACAGAGATATGTGAAGCCATTTTAATACAGTTCAATTAGAGGATTAGAGTGAAGAAGCTACTTCAACACAATTATATTCATAAAAAAAAGTTTTAAATGGGGGCCTATTATGCTCATTTTTCATTCGTCTTGGACTCTAGAGTAGCTTTGCGTGCTTTACAGTCCAAAGAAATCCTATTCCGTCCTTGACATCATATAAAAAATGTAAAAAATAAAAAAAATAAAAAAAATTGTGTGAAGCCAAAGCTTTAGGAATTACATCTACATAGGCTTACCTCATTATTTGAAACTTCAACCACGTTGCAGCAGGCCGTGAAGGCTCAAGCCATGTGACACGAGACTCACTGGAGAGCCAGCTGTTGGCATCTCCAGTGTGTCCTCCTTACAGTAGCAAAATAGACGAACAGCAAAGGCTTGCTGGTTTCGCAGCGACTAAACTTTTTAACTCTACTGTGGCACATGTTATCAAAATTTGGAAAAATAAAAATAAAAAAAAAATCCTAAGAAAATGCATCACCAAATATACCTGTGGAGTCATACCATGTAAAATCTGTGTAGGAAACACTGCATTTCTTTTCACACAGCCAAAAATACAGTCATGTAAGAAAGAAAGACTTCTTCAACAATGCCATTTGGACAGGCAAGACCAGAGTGAAGATATTGGGTGATAGTGGACAGCATCACCAACCACATCCTGTCAGTTGAAACACCGCACACCAACTGTCAGCGCTGTGGCTGAGGGGTGAGGATTTGGGCCCGTTTTGCAGCCACAGGACCCGGACACTTTGCAGTGACTGAGTCAACCAAGAATTGAGGTGTTGCAATGACCCCGTCAAAGCCAGATATTAAGCTGGTTTAAATGACGTGACAAGATCTTAAGAGAGCTGTTGAAGGTAGTTCTAACAGCTGTTGAATCGTGAGGTGTAGTTGGTTTTTAGGATTATCACAACTTGTTATTGTTACATTTAAATTTGAAAAACTCTTTGTGCGGGAAACACTGCATTTCTTTTCAGGGTTGCAGGCACGCAATATATTCCATGAGTTTGGACTTGTCAGCTGGTATCTCAGAAAATAGAGCTTTTAATGTGATTAACATTGTAACAAAGTCCACTTTACCACAAAAATAATCTAACAACAAATTAGACGAAAGCATAAGCATTGGGAGTTAAACCCCACTCTCCTGGAGTGGATCCTTGTGGATTATTAATGATGTTTTTCTATCACCTGGTGTTCCCATACTTTAATTGTGAAACTCAAACTGAATGAGCTGAAATCTGTGTAACTGGTTGCTCCAGATGGCATTAAAAGAGAATTAACCATGAGTACTAATGGTGCACTCATGGTTAGCAGCTTGGTGGCCTTAAAAACACAGTTGGCCAACAAAAGATTATTACGGGTGAGCCAGCTTTCTCTGCACTGAGAGGAGATTCACTAAATGCATGACTGAACAGAGTAAATCTACAAAGCCATTTGAATTAGAGAAGGCTGGAAACATCTTTTATTCTTTGCTTCCAGTGTTCGATTTAGTTAGAGCTAATGGGCATAATTTATACATGAAACACCTGCCTGGTCCAGCACGAAGTAAACACAATCAGGGGAGGCCACGTAAGGACATCTGTGGATGCCTCCAGGATTTCAAAAACAGCAAGTCCATCTAAATATTTCCTGAGAGGACTTGAGAATTTATCAGTACCACTTACAGATTCAGTGATTATCAGACCTGCAGCTCACAAAATGAAAACTCCACCTGCACATAGTTAGCAACTGTTTTCCACCTGTGATTTTCTTTGTCAGCAAAGCTGAAAACTATTTATTTTCCCAGAAAATCAAGCAGGAAAGCAAGGAGGTGGTTTGTTTGATCTGTCAGCCGGCTCCTGCTTTCATTCAGGCCACCCGAGGAGTGGACAGATTATCATCGGCAGGAAGCAGAGCAGCAGGATCGGTTCTCAACCTGCCGAGTTTAGGCCTCGAGATGTAGGCAAAGCTTTGCTTTCATCAAATACCTCGCAGAGAAAACCAATCCCAAAAGCTGCAGTCTGCCATAGCAGAACTGAAGAACTTATTACTGCAAAATGGTAAAATTATAAAAAATAATGGCAGCAATTTTAAGATATAACCAGTGTCTAGTAAGAATCATGTAGTTGCATGAGTATGAAGATGCTTTCACAGAGAAACTGAGTTCACGTCTCAAAAAGTTGCATTTTCATTTCAGGCTGAATTGAGACTCATCATGATCTCTGTAGCTGAACTTCACATGCCCGCAGCTCCAGACTCCAGTATGAGTCAACTTTAATGCCCAGAGAAATCCTGCAAGGTGACATCAAGTGCACGTGAACACAGCACGCTTACTTTAGCTGTCCCCGCCAGACTGTGAGGCTTTAAATCAAAGAAAACCACAAGCATCACACTCGCACAAACCCAAAACCCTGCCAGCACTCACAACTTCTCAAATCCAACTCATCCTTTCCTGCGAGCAAGAATGTGTTTGTACTGTAACACGTGCCAGATTTTTTATTTGGAGGGAACCCATGTTGTTGTAGTTAACAAAAAACAAATGACACATCTCATCAGCCTCATTTTGTGATTAAGGCTGATTAGCTCGTTAGATTTTTCCACAGAAAAACAACACAAAAAGGCAAATTAGCTTTTTGTGCAATCAGTCATTTTTGCAATCATATCAGGTACCAGCATGCAGTTTGTACATAACATATTGACACAATATTGGATAAGAACTCTTTTTGAAAGTGAACTTTTAGCTCTTTGTGCAGCTCATCATCTCATCTTCTGTCAGAAATGAGCTGTTTTCCTGTCTCCTGTTTCTTCAAATCTCCCTCCCTCAGACTCTTTGGAAATCTACTTTGGGGTGGCCCTCCTGCCTTTACTCTGTGGGTGTGTCATGCTTGTAGCATGGCAGATTATTTTATTATATTACAAAATTCAGCACTTGTTATTCAGACAAGTCTATGCAATGTCCATGTGCTGTGCAAGCGTTGCATCATCTCAGTGCAACTTGCTTGTTTATTAAACTTAAAGTGTAATAATGAAACCAAAATTGAGATTTATTTTTTTTAATTCTTTTTCGCAGTGAATAAATGTTTTTATTTTATTTATTATTTGTTTATTTTGAGTATCGCCATCACAATTCCCCAACTCTCTGTGAATGGTCCTCATGGCCAGTGATTAATTGAGTGGACAATTTCCATATTAATGATCAAAAAAACTGACCTCACAGCCCTTTGTTCTTTAATTGGGCTGGTTTCAGTCATTCTGCAAATGTACTGTTTATAAGCTTGGGGAAACCTGCAGTCAGCTGAAACTGAAGAAGTCACTTGGATGAGCGACAAAACGTTTCTTCCACTGAAAACGTCCAGATGAACAAAATCAACGTTTTAGGATTTACTTACCTGGATGATTGAGCATGCATCAAGAAAAAGATAATAATGAAAACCAAAGGTACACTTGTAAAACTAATGGGAACCATCACTGAAAGTCAATGAAAGAATTGGGAATAAAATAAAATACTTTTTAACTCATTCACTGCCAGCCATTGGCAGTGAATGAGTTAAACCCATTGACTCATTCACTGCAATTGACGGCTATAGACGTCAATGGCAGTGAATGAGTTAATATAAAAAGTAGTCCAGTGAAATTAATAGAACCTAAAGGTTACTATGAAATAAGCAGAAATCATCCCTGTTTCTCAAATTTTTTTTAGCATGCTGCATTTCACACATCATAAGTTCACATCTGAAATGCAAAATGTTCATTAACAATTACTAAAAGTTAAAAACACAAGGGCACAAATCTAATTCTACTTAAATAAACTTCACTCACCAGCGTCGTCGGACTCCTGTGTTTATTTTGTCTGAAAAACAAAGAAATAAAAAAAATTCATCTTAGTGTCATTTTTTTTTTTATATAATCTGCTTCAGGAGCATAGACTGTATATAAAAGACAACATAGTCACCAGGCTGTCACCGTTTGTGTGAGAAGGTAAACTACTATGAATTGCACAGGTACAAAGAACAGACAGGGACACCTGCAAATTAGTGCTAAGTAACAGACCAATAAAATATGAGAATTTCACACATCAAAACTGAAGCACAAACATTTAGGATGGTGTGTATCACACAAACCAACCACAAAATCAGTCAATCCATTAAAAGAGGTCCACAGATTAGTGAGCTGGCAGATACCAGTCAGTCAAATACACCACGTCCCTACCTCCAGCATCAAGATCAGAGTGATCATGAAGAGGGAAACTATCAAAAAACAGTTTTTTTGTAACATGCTTTGTCTAAATGTCCAAATTTTAACCTGGGAGTCTCTGGGGATTGACTCACTTTTGGGCCAGCCTCAGGTGGCCACTAGAGGAACTGCAATTTCTGGTAGGTTCAGGTCTAATTGCTGCTGCTTGTTCAGGAGCTACACGGCTAACCATCTGGAAAACAATTCAGACAAGAGTGCTGGCTTAAGGCTCACTAATTAGCGTGATTTCTTTTCAGTTTTTATAAGCAGTTAATATAATTTTATTAGTGGGATATAACCTTTTCCCAGGTGTAAATGAGTACCACCCTCTAAATACCACCTCATCTCTTAGAGAATTTAGCAGGTGGATGTCCTTTCCAGCCACTGTGTGGATTAACAGCACCAGCTGCAAAGTGCTGAATGTGAATGCAGTCCCGCTGAGGAGGCAGCTAGCTCGACAGAGATATCAATATGGACACCTGTGGGCCCTCCTGTTGCCATGACCACCAGCAACAGCTGCAGCAGAGTCACTCTATCGTCACCGGCGGCCGGTGGGGGAATCAGCACTTCCTAAACAAATTAGTCTGAGGAAAACTGCTGAGGCCCGAACCCTTTAATTACATCAACCCCAAACCAAATTATACGCAGACTCTGTAATAACTAATGCACATCAAACAAGCCCTCCTCCTCTTCCTCCTATCCCACTCAATCTTATGTGTGGAACATTTATATCGAGGTGTTCATTCCCAGAGGAGAGACGCAGAGAAATGTCAAGACAAAGGAGACATGGCTTCTCCTCCCTCCCTGGCCTTTTCGCTTCTCGTTCTATCACTCTCTCCATTCTTTTCGCTCCCCTTCCTCATTCATTCTCCGTCTCCTTCTCCCTTTATCCTGTCATCTACATTGTGGGGAGCGTCTTTCGCTCCTTCGAGCTTTGGCTGTGTAAGCAGAGCTGGCGAGATGAGAAGAAGCAGCGCTGTACTCTGAATAGTGAAGCACAATAGGCGAAGAGGTTTTGCAAGGAGAGAATTAAAATTCTGCCACCGGTGGAGCAAAATAAGATGCCACGTGTGTGTCTGTGAGGGGAGGGGTTTAAAATGAAATGAAATGTGTTTTTGATTGGAGAACTTCACTCTCTTGGAAAGAGAGCTTTTAAAAGTGAACAAACACAAGGTTTAGAGAGAATTTAGAAGAATGGAAAATGAGCTAAAGCAGACCAGACACATTTAAGTCCTTTTTCTCATTGTTCTTTTTTTTTAAAAAATACAGCTAAATGTGATCTTAAGAAAAGTACAAGACAGAAAGGAGGGGGAAAAAAATCGTGTTCATCTTTCAGTCCACACTTCATCCATGTTCTCATGGAGAGCACCAACTATAAAAAGGCCATTCATAAAAAGGCAGGTAAATACCATCAATCAAAGGATGCATGCAAATTAAGGTCAATGAGCTCCTCATATAATGCAAACATCACACTGAGCTCTTACTACTGGGAGCAGAATATTAATAAGTACATGTATAGTGTACACAGGAAAAACCTGCTCACCAAGGATAATAAGGTCTTTAAGGGATGTTAAGATAAAACATGTGGCACCTTCATAATAGTCTCAGGTGACTGCCCAGCTTTAAAAACAGTACATCCTACTATAATGGTTAAGTGGACATGTTGTTATGTAGCGCTTTTCGACTCTACCTGAGCACTCAAAGAACTTTGTACAACATGCCACATTCATCCATTCATCCAAGCACTTTTTTTCTATGTTTAAGTTCTTTTTATCTAACATTTACAAACATTCAGCTTGGGGTTGATTTCTTGCCCAAGAATTATTGGCATGGAGACTGGAGGGAGATCGAACAAATAACCTTCTGATTAGTAGACAAGTTATTCTACTTCCATATAGTCATATCATATCATCATTGTAGTATATGTATGTATGAATATTTGTGTGTCTGTACCTTATGTCCTCCTTAATTCATGGGAAAACTTGCACAAACATCGTCGTAAATACAGAGATACAGTGAAAAACACTATAAATCTCTCTTATTTTATCTTCTCTTTTTAGGACAACTCTATAGAGTTGTTGTTTTTTGGTTTGTTTTTAATAGCTTATCCATTTCAATACTGGAGTTGTTGCTTGGCTGCTTTCAATGACTAGTCTCCCGACCACAGATAGTATAAAGGTCTTTAAAGTGAAGCTACCAGGGGCCAATAACTGTGGTTGTAAAAGGACTTCGGCCCTATAGATGTTTGTGAGAAAATGGTCCTCAACCCCTAGGTCAGTCAAGTCCATGGTGTCAGTCACCAGGATATACTCCTTATCTAATCACCTCTCATCAAGAAGTGGTAACATCCCTCTTTTTATATTACCTGTGATTCCACTGGAGGCCGTTTTTGGCTGCAATTCTAGTATTTTATGCATCTGTTGCTTAGCTAACTAGGAGATATGTACATGGCAGCAGTGAAACTGCAAAACACGTTTAACTGATGTGTGGTGTAGAGGTGTGGACATCCATATATTACACAGTCTGTTTTACACAATGCTGATTTAACCAATAAAAAAAAGAAAGTAAAGCACCAAATTCTCTGTTTTAAGTATATTGCAACTTTATTTCAACCGAGATTTTTCAATACTGTGCGATTATAACTTCAATGATTATGCTAACTTTGCAAACTCCACCTGTGTTATAAAGATTTGAACGTTGACATTCTATCAGAGCAAGCAAGGCAGGAAGTGCTTGTGCAGTGGACTCTAAATAAATAGGCCTAAATTAAGTGAAAGAAATCTTCTTTCATCTCAAACAGTATTCTGTCATAAAGCTTCTCTCATCCCTCATCCTCTCATTGCATCTATCCTTTAGATCTCTGCCATCTTGTGATTGCAGTTGGATATTGTCTCTGGAAGCAAACTTGATTACAGAACTACTAAAATCTCATGGACTTGTCTGTCTCCATCTCCTATTAATAAAGCTTGATTGCACATGTGAAGTGTGGATAAACCTCTGGTCTATGACGGGAGACTGTCGGAGATTAGCATGCTAGCTAAGCCACTGCTGGCTCTGCTTTCACTGCTCTCAGATCAGTTACCTTCAGTGCTTTGTGTGAAACAAAGCTAGCATTGGCAAGTAAACAACTGCTTTCATTTATCGTTGTAACAAATGAGCATTCTCTCACTGACCACCTCGGCCAATTTGTATGACGTAACCAACTTAATAACTTGTTATAATTGTTTGATTAGCAGCTGTGAAACCACTTGGTTGGCCAAAATGTACAAAGTTTAACTTAACATGGTTGTTGTTTTTTTTTCTTTTTAAATAAAGTTATCTGTGTTTCTTAGCTCTCATTGCCTTTCTGTAAAAGGTACCACATGCCACAAGCTGGTTTTTACATGATTCCTTGTGTACATTTGCCATTCTGACAGATCCAAAGTAAATACATATATTAGCTGCCTGGGATGGCCATTTTGCTGCCTGCATAAGAGGTCACCATCTGGGGATACTTCCAAGCAGAGGTGGTAAATGCAAAGTTAGCATGAGCCAAAAGAGCCATTTAATGGGAACTACGTCATAGTGTTTATCTTGAAAACATTACGGCAACATGCAGGCACTAAGGCAATCAATTACTGAATTATACCATGCTGTTGCACAATGAATGCAATAAGCCCTCTGGGCTTTTTTCTCATTACCAGGTACACACTGTCCTACACGGGCGAAGCAGGGGAGGCTTTTAATAACATTTAGTATTCAGATTAAACCGTTGTACGCAGCCAAAGCTACGGCTTCCAGGGTTTTGGCTCCAAAGTAGGATCAATTTACAATCCAATTAATTCAAATTGTGTGGAAACATGCTCACAAGGAGGAAAACAATCGGCTGTCCCATTAAGGCAAAGACAAATGAGGGTTTGGAGCCGAAAGAGAAGAGACACCTGATGCGTTTGACATGCCTGCTTTCATTATTTGGTTTACTTCCAATACAACAGGCTTTTAAAATAATATATGCATAGTAGGAGTACTTTATTCCTTTTTACCTAAAAGCCACTGATGGGCTCCAGTTGGATTTGATCTGGATTTGAAGTGCGCTTCAAACACAGTGTTCAATTTGTCTGTTAAAAAAATAATAATTTATTACAGCTCATCAAAGACTTGCAGCAAATAAACCATGATGTTTCCGAGAAAGCGCAAATGATACGCATCTCTCACAGCAGCAAGAGCAACACTGTCTGAATGTTTAAAAGCTGTACAAAAAAAAAAAAAAAGACTACAATATAGATCCACTGCCTTCAAAGCAGCTGGTCAATCATGTTTAGCAACTCTTTCCTGCTCTTTAAATGACTTGTCATCCTGTCTTTCAAACCTACTGTTGAGCCACACACAGCTGCAGATCACCAGCATGACCTTTAGAAAGATTCAGGGAAATTCATTAACGAGCCTTTGATTAAGTCGTTTCACGCTGGCAGTTTTTCCTTGATGGGAACCTAAATAAATAATATACCACTTCCAGCTGATGTGTCCTTATTAAGCTCAAAATAACACCAACATAGATAACTTAATCAGTGATTTGTGAGCAGATCATCTTAAACTGGTTTCTTGAACATGACAATGAGTTCACTGTTCTCAAATGGCCTCCACAGTTACCAGATCTCAATCCAATAGAGCAGCTTTGGAATGTGGTGCAATGGGAGATCTTCATCTTCATCTTCATGCGTGACTGTGTGACGCTATCATGTATCAAAACCTCCAAGGAACGTTTCCAGCAACTTGTTCAATCTATCCTGTGAAGATTTAAGGCAGCACTCAAGGCAAAAGGGAAGTCCAACAAGGTACTAGCGAGATGCACCTAATGAGGTGGTTGGTGAGTGTATATAGATTTACAAAACAGAAAATCATCTTTGAGAAAAAAATAACATGCAAAACCTACAAGCATAGCATTCATATGTTAAAAAAAAACAACAACAACAACAACAACAACATGCAACTTTCTTTTTTTTTTTTTTACCAATTGCCCAGAGCTGTTCGATATAACGATATATATCGGATGACGATATAAAGACGTTGACCGTTTGTTTCTTTCATGGTGTCGCAAAATAAACTGTTTACAGCTATATTTTTTCATCGCTTTGACGGTCACTGTAGTAGCTATGTTAATTTCTTAAAGTTCCCCCTTTCTCTTATATTTAAAATAACTACGCTACGGACGGACAAACGGCTTGTTTTTACGCTTTGTCGTTAGCAACAATGAAGTTAAACCCAGCGTGTGGCTCCGTTGTCCGCTTATTTATTTTCCACATAAACCTTTCACAATAAAGCTGAGGATCCTGTTGAGACCCTGTTGAGACAGAAAGACCAGTCAAAACAAATCGAGGACCTTATTCCTAAAGGAGGGGCTATGTATATGTCTTATATTGGTATATGGGATTTTTGTCATATCGCACAGCCCTACAATAGCCACCAAAACCCTTAAAAGGACCTTTTCTACCACCTTAAGCAGTCAACATTAAAGACCTGCAAAAATGCATACTTGTCTATTTAATTGAGTGCGATCTTAACATGTTCATAAAAATGAACGTATTCTGTACACATCTGCAAAAATCTTTGAACCAAATAACGCTTCAGGATTTTGCTTTTAATCAACTAAAACCTGCATATTTAAATGTATAAAACAAGAAAACTATAACATCTTGACCCACAGCCACACTAAGCTCTATGTTTATGTGTGTTTAAAGTGTGTGCATCAAAAGGGTCATTTCATGCTGCTCCACATGCAACCATCAACCTCCCCATCGGCAAGGTGCTGGGCAAAGCCTCGCCACCCACCATCGTGATCCACAGCCACTGAGACGTCTAATGCAGCAGAAGGGAAGGCGGCTGGGCCCAGTTTGTCATTCTGTTTGAGCGCTGACTCAGACTTAAAAACAGGTAGAGGGAAAAAAAGGAAAAGAGGGATTAAAGTCACTGTAGTGCTTCCTGGCAGCAGTAAAGACACATTAGAGGCCAGGTAGATGATTTTTGCGAGATGGAGTAAAAGACGGTGTAGGAATGCTGCTGCAGACTCCCTGGTTTTCACTGCTTTGCTAGTAGTCTTCTGGAGAGCATGTGTGAAATTCTCATAAATGTTCCCTTCCTGTTGTGGACTGCATAAAAAGCAGTACATAATATCAGCATATATGACAGACTAGTCTATTAATACCAAAACCAATCACATGTGTGACATCTAATCTCAGGAATGACTCCTTTCTGGGTGAAAATGAAAGAAAAGAAATGAAAGTTATTCATTTGAACATCCTCTCCACCTCCAACCCTCCACCCATGGCTTGTTTTATGTCCAACAATGATCCGAGGAATGGCTGCCAAGCATATAAATCTGGCTACGAGGACAGGTTCGCTGGCAGAGCTGAACAGAGTGAGCACTGGGGAATCCAAAGACAGTACATCTTTATTACCGTTAAATAGCTGCAGCACAGAAAGACTTGACTCAAAATGTGGAGCAGTGGACTAATGATGAAGGATGGAAGGGAAGGCTGACTGGCATCATCTGGCGCAAAGCTCAGTCACTCATACATGGTGGATTTAAAAAAAAAAAAAAAAATGAAACAATGAATGAAAAAAATTTTAACATGAAATCTTGAATCATGAAATATTTTATCCCAATATCACACATCACTTGGCAAATCCAGCTGTAAAGCATCAATCTGAACATGTTTGATAGATCTGACTGAGAAACCAAGGACACTAGACACTCGTAGGCTGGCAGCTTGTCTGTAACATGGCAAAGCATATCGCGCTTTAAAAATGTGAACATCACGTTGCTTTGGCGTTTACTGAGGCCAAGGATCAGTGGAGCCCAAGGACCATTTTTCCCCAAGATTTCTGTAAACCAAAATAACCTTTTGCAGTGGCTGTACCTGCTAGTCATTAGAAAGAAAGCAGATTTATGGCTCTTCTGGATTGCCCTAACCTTTTAGACCCAGAAGACACATCAAATAGTTACAATACAATAAAATTACATGTGTGATTGTACAATACAAATGTCTAACTTCCCAGAAAAACCACAATAATTTCACATCAAACATACAAAGGCGTCTTTACATGCAACCCAATCTAATTAATGATTTGTATAAACCACCTGCCTTAATCAGACAGAAATTTCACTCCAAACAAGTGTGATCAGGTCAGAATCTTCCAACTAGTGTGTTTACATTAAGCTTTTTTTTTTTTTGGTCAGGCTTTTGATCTGGTTACTCGTTTCCATGTAAACATGGCTGCTGTTTGTTTTAAAGCTCGCTAGTCAACTAGATGATTAAATATTGCTAAATACTAGTCAGCTAGATATTCATATTTAATGGATGTTTTACACCAGTAAACTGTTGCTTCTAAGTTTTTATAATGCCATTGGCGACTAACAGAGGGATATCCAACAGAAACAAGCTCCCCTCCATCTTTCTGTGAGAGGAAATTGACAGCGAGTTGGAAAATAAACATAACAGAAGCATGAACCAGCGTGGATCTGCAGTACTAAAATGATGGAATCAGATTTTTACTGATATTTAAACACTCAGTTGGAACAATGTCTATGTGGAGCAATAGAACGTTAGCCACACTCTGCAAACTGATCTAGGACAGTGTGTTTGCAATGCCACCTACGGCAGAAAGTGCAACACATTTTAGCAACTTGATCTGATTATTAAAGAATGTGACTGATGGTTTCAAAGGGCTCAGAAAAATACACAATATTTGTACAGTCAATCTTTCATCTAGTAGCTGAGCTCAATTTTAGCCATTTCGTGGAGATTAGTTGACTTGTCGATTTTTTTTCTCCCCTTTTCATGGGCAGTAAAATACCTGCTGTTGTCTATTAGTCTTTTTTTTTTTTTTTTAAATCAACTTTGATGTCCAAACTACTTTCTTACAACACTGTCACCACTTTCTCTGCTTGGAAATGGGGTTGTGTTAGTGTATAAATGGTATGAAAAGTGTATGCAGATTATAGAAATCTGTTGGTTAAAGAGCAAAATAGGCAAGTGTATTTTTTTTCCTCCACAATACAAGATATATATCATGATATGTTCAAATAACCTCCAAAAACAAATGTTATTCTCAACCATATAATGCCCAAAACTGCACTGGCATCCTCATTCAAATCCAAAATTCAATATTTTTTCCTACTTTGAATAAAAATTTTAAAAAAAAAAAAAAAAATGAGTTTAAATGTTTTATTTTAACCATTTTGTAACCATCAGCTGCACACAGAGGTTTTCTCAAATTACAATATTGTCACAGTGCATCTCTTTGTGTGGTCAACACTAGACATTTAACAAAAAAATGTTTAAAGCAACAAAAAGTACACCAAGTAAGAATTTAAGAGACAAAATAGAATAATTCAAAATAAAAACATTTGACATTTTCTTTGGTGTGTGGGGAGATGATGATATGCGGAGTTTAAAGCATTCTTCATTTTGCAGTGGATGACTTTTCAGGTGGTAGAATAAATTCATGGTACTCTTACCTTTAACAAAAATAGTTTTATGGCATTTCTTGAAAATTATTACATTTTGTTCAACATTCTTCTTGTGAAATCCAAACCACTGCCAGATCATTGATCCAGTGCTGTTTCTATTTGGAACTAGCTCATCTGACTCCTCTTCTGTCTCATTCCCTCGCTCGTCTGAAAGGGCTGTTGTCGCCATTCCCCCCCCATCTGGTAAACACGTGTGGCAGGCAGAACATTTTCCGATTAGGCGGGGGGAGGTAGTGATGCCTTCGCAACATGTGGGATAAAAAAAAAAAAAAAAAAAAAACCTCAATGAATTACATGCAGTCCCAAATACATCTAGTAGATACGATAGATTGCCCCACCCCTAGGCCAGTGTGCACATTTAATAAATCCAATGGTAATTTTACATATGCACTTTTTTGTTTTGCAAGATTTCGATGCACAAGGTCTCCAGGAATAGGGACAGTGTCTCCTACTTTGTCTTACATCAGTTGCCTTTGTATTCATTATGCCCAATTTTACCCTTTCTTATGAAATAATCTGAATTAATGCCAAAAATCACTTTTAAACTGTGCCAACCACCTCTATATTTTTGAGTTAATCTATAGCATTTTGTCTATTAACATTTCTTAAGCCTTACATTGGTAAGCTTGCTGCAAAGAGAGTGAAACATTTAGCATACAGGCTTGACAACATGCCAACAAATCAACATTACAGCTTTTAGAGAGCAGCAGGATACAAGAGTTTCTAAAGTTAGAAAGATCCGTGCATTTATGCATTCTGATGAACGAGGACATCGAGGGCAAAATCACTCAGGAGCTAACATTAAACAAGACTGTGAAGGTTACTTTCCTTCACGCTAGACAGGTGAGCTGTCACATGAAGTCACAGTTTATCAGCATCAGTCTTATCCTTTGTTACGGACCATCCTACTGATCATGACAGCTCTCGAGACACTTTTATTTTACTAAATTCAAACCTGGTTATTAAAGTCAAATATTTTGTAGGTTTAGTATGAATATTTTCTCAGCTTCACAGACACAGCAGATTATTACTCTGCAGGCTCGTCACCATGGCATTAACTTTGAAGTAACTTCCAAAATATGGTACCAGGTATCCTAGTAACAAGGAATGGTTCAAAGCTATGTAACCCAGGACCAAAGAGTTTGGCTGATGCCTCAAGCATAATTAAAAATCAAATGCACGCCCCTGCTGCTCATCTACCTTTTATGTGCCCTTCTTCTAAACTTTCCGTTATCACTGATCTTCTCTTCCTCCTCCCTTTGCACCATCAAGCTGCATGCCTTTTGGGGTTTTGTCCTACGTACAAAAAAGAAAGAGGAGGAAAAAAATAAATAAAAACTCAATCACGGCAGGAGTGCGTTGTGACTCCTCTACCCTACAGACACAAAACAGCATGCAGCCATTTCCACAGAACGTCCCCCAAAAAGCTCCAAAAGGTTCAAAAGGAGAGGTCACCCTGAAAAAAATAAAGCACATTTCCCGGGATAATAACAACATTAACAACTCACCTCCCGGGCCTCAGTTTGCCAGAACCTGGCACAGAACATGAAAAAAATAAAAAAATAAAAATAAAAAAAATACACAGAACAACTGCAGAAGCCTAATTTTTAGCTTCTGTTATGGCTTTCTAATTCAGTCCCCCAGTCAAATAAGATGTGTGTGCAAAGAGATAAAGATAGAGAGAAAAAATAAACCCTCTGTTTGTTTATTATTTATCTTTTTAGAGCATCTGTAACATCATTTAAGGCACCATATGCTGCTGCTGTTTATATTTCTTCTCTCATGATGCCTTCATGAAGAGCAGCTGTCACAGATTGTGTCACGTCCCCGTAATGAATAACGAAGGCATGCGCGAGGCGTCAAATCGAGGCAGACGGCCCCAGATGTTGGAATAAAAGAAAAGTGGGTCAGGTGTCTAGCTGATGCTGAGCACACGGCTGCGTGACGAGCGAGCCGAGGCTTCAGCCCAACCGGAGAACGGATGGTTGAAATCTGTCAAGCTTTAAATAAAAATGGAAAAACAGGTCACATGACAAGCAGTGGTTACACCTGAGCCGAGCAGGGCATAAACTCGCGAGTCCTTTGGTTGCAGTTCATTAAAAGGTCAAAAAGGTGAGGCATAGAGTCACGTCGCCTGAACTGCCCAATGAACGACTCCCAGGGGCGTCTTGCCAGCTCTCGATACATCACTCGCTGCACAGTGGAGAGTTGTGCGCTCCAGATTTTTCACAGCTCAACAATGCTTCACAGCCTCATACGTCTCCAATACAAAACATCCATCAATCCTCCAACATCTGCCTCAGACATTGAAATCCCAACCCCGGCGCCATCTCATCATGCAAATCCCAGCATTCAGGACATACGTCTTTCACCGTAAATCGACCATTTACAGTCCAGCCCATCAATCATATCTGGATCATTTCACAAATCGCACAACACACCCTTGTTTTATTAAAGCTCCTCAATTCAGTCCATTAACAATTGCTTTGCACACTTAAAAACTTAATTACGCATTTATTAACACCTTATTGACATCAGTTCAACCCTTGCGATGGTATCTTGCTTTTAGCCCTTCGCTCTTATTTTAGCACTACAATGACTGCTCTGCAAAGAACATGTGGATACTTTGCATTTAAATGCAAAAGGGCAAAAAGGAGAAAACAACTACCAAAAAAAAGAAGAAGTTCTGCATTTTTTGCTGCTGTTACTTTGAAATGCATGACATCTAGTTTGAATAAAATTCAACAGCGGTACACAAAACTCATGGGCTGGTATGTACCTCAATAATATAAAAAGAAGTGCAGAAAAATACTGTGTGGTATAATATTATGTGTGCTGGCTTTAAATCTTGTGTGAGACCACATACTGTACACCAGAGGTCTCAAACTCCAGTCCTCGAGGGCTGTGTCCTAAACATTTCCATGTGTCCTTGTTGCAACACACCTGAATAAAATTAATAGGTCATTAGTAAGACTATAGAACCTGACTGGATGCTTACGTGGCAACCCCTAACTGTACTCAAGTAAATTTAAGGGGAAGGACTAGAGTTTGAGGCCCCAGCTGTACATAAAAGATGGATGTAGTGACATCACACATGGTGATGTCACCGTTAGCAGGCAAAGTTTCGCTGTGAAGCCTGAAACTGCCTCCATCGCTATCATTTGACCAAGAAACTGAGGAAAACTAGTAAATATTTGCTGAGTTGATCAGACTACAAGACCGAGGAGTCATATTACTATAGACGTCTTTTTGGAATATGAAGTTACTTTTATATGGTTTTCATTAAAGTGACACTATTGACCTAAAAATAACTGAAGCTCGTGTTCAGAATTACAGACCATATTTTGAATCAGCCCTTGGATGTCTGGTTATTATGCAAAGAATCCTTTTTGGCAGATCCCTAATAGTGTCTAATTAAAATGCATTTACAATAATCACCTAAAGCATTTAAACCTAAAGATTTTGACATGGTTTGGGTTTTACTACAGCTCAGGCCTGTTAAGGCATGGGTGCGATGTCTCTGCTAATCTGCAACATGAATGCCAGCAGTTGATTGCATTATAACCAAATAATCAGTAGGTAATAGGTCATTTGGGCCTGAGCCCTTTGTCAAATCAGTGAGAAGAAGCCCAGCTTGACTGTTTCTCAGCTGATTAGCAACCCCTACCAAAGTTTGTGACATGCAACGCCACCCACATTATATATAAATGAAGCATTCGCTGCATAATTCCTCAAATAAGCATCTCAAATGCTCACTAGCTCGCTACCTGGGTACACAAAGAAAGGGCAGCAGATATGAATATTTTACTCAGTTACTGCCTGACACTGTGGCTAAATCACTGTGGGAGACCAACTTATTAAAAAAAGCATGGCTGAGTAGGTGGACCTGCCACAGGAACTACAAGGGGGGTATTCAAATAGTGAACAAGCACTATAAAAATCACTTTCTGTGGTCACAATATGGCAGCTCCGTAGAAAAAGTCAGCCCAATCGTTAACTCAGTCGACAGTTTAGTCGTCCAGCGCTTGCCTGATCAAGCCGTGTGGGTCAACGGACCACCATTACACGAACACAAGTGCCAAATTATCTCTTCGCTAATAATTATCTAAACAAAGTGGCTCTCCTTGGCTAACACAATAGAGAAAGCTGATGATGACTTGTTTAATTATGGGCACCCTGCACTTGTCTTAATGGATATATTGTTATCCATTTAACACTTGAGTCAACAACTCCACAATTCATTCTTAGTGACAGTAAACTGCATTCGAATGCTTTACCTCTCATCATCTTTCTTTCCAACACGTTCTCACTCCCAAAGCGTAACATTTTACGCTAGGTGACAAATCGTCAACATATTTCGTTTTCGGGTACCCAACACGTTCCTAAATGAAGACATCGGAAAAAGGAGAACACATGAGAACCGTTTGGACTCAATCTACACATGTTCGTTCATTTTCTTCAAATCGCTTTGGAAAACACTATTTTACATCATTTAACGTCTCATTAATGTTAGGAATAAGGTTATGGATATGGTTAGGGATAAGGTTACGGCTGGAACGCCACGGGACGTGACAAAACGTCGCTATGCTACACCCCAGGAGTGAGAATGGGCTCTTCTTTCACTTTCATTTCCATTACAAAAGAATAAGCACAATGTTCATTGCCTTTCTGTTGTAGAAAAAATGTATTGATTTTTCTTTTAAAGCTTCTAGATGGATGGGTAATACAGCAGTATGATATCTAGTAAACCCTTTGTTCAAAGAATTCAATGTTGGTTTAAAAAGAAACATCATCAGAAAAAGGTCAAGTACAAGGCCCGGACTTACAATACGTGAAAAAGCAGACAAAGTCCAGGTTAAGATTTTTGCACAGTACTGTACCTGTCACACTCTTCACCTTACCAACAGGAACAACAGCATAAGTTATGGTCTCCAGCTCAGGTTTTTACAGGCTCAAATCTCAACAAGCGAGATTTAGATATCAGATACTTTGTTCGCATATTTTTCCTTGCTAGAGTCCAAGACGGAAGTCTACACAACGTTCGAGCTGATCAGATGTTGAAGTAGCGTCAGCACAACATTTGTTTTGGAGCCAATTTTCAACAAAGACTAAATGTAAAGAACCGTCAGCCATCAAACTGCATTTCATACACTGAACTTAATGTTCACAATGGCACGCACAGAATCCACAGATCCCATTCAGTCCATCTTCTGTCAGTGTCAGAGAGAAACCACAGCTGCACATCCAACTTTTCTTCTTCTCATCGGCTTAATGGATTGTGAAGGCAAGGTAAATGATTCTCCTTGACAACACATGATGCATTAGCCTGCACCATTCGTCACAGTTTACAATGCATCCCGCGAATGGAAATAACTGAATCCATCATTGGCAGAGACACCCACCAAACAACAGGAACACCAGGACAGAGTGTGATTGAATCAAATTGGATCCTTTTCAGGAATCCGTGGCCACAGGTACACAGCACTCCTTCAAAGGGAAAAAAAAAAAAAGCATTAAATGGTGTCATTAAGGATGGATGTACGAGTCTCTATGCATGCATGCAAGTCATTTTAGATTACAGCAGCTAAACAAATCGACTGTCAGGCCGCGGGAAGGAGAAACACGGCGGTATCAGCTCACAAGCCTGGTGCAAGCAATCAAATCGTTGATATCAGGAAAGTAAAAACGATAACGGCATTAAAACATACTGATGTGTGCAATTCTCTGAAAGCGTCTCAATTTGTGGTGCTCTAACAATGTCACTTACTTCCCTCATCTTCCCTCTACTGCCACACACCAGCTCATCATTTCTCTCCTCTTTCCTTTTTCTTTTATGGCAAATTAAATTTACCCAAGCAGTGCACCATTCACCATCTCCTCATGCTATTCACTTTTTTTTTTTTTTTTTTATAACTTGCAGATATGGAAACCTTCCCTCATTACACAAGGTCAACACTGGCACCCCACCGAGTGTCGAGAAGCTCTCAAAAAGAGCTTGAAATTGATTCATCACTGGCGGCTCTCTCAGAGGGGATGGTGTGATGAACTTTATGAGTAGAAACACACAGATGCAGAGTGATTGAGAGCTCGTCCTGAACAGTCAGAGGTAACGGCAAGAGATGAAAACATACAGTAATCTAATACTTAAGCATTATATGAAGGTAATGTAGATCATAAAGTACTGCTGAAATCTCAAAAGGGACACTTCAAAATAAGAAATGAAGGAGAAAACGTTTTAATTTTTCTGTCAGAGAATAAAAATAAAATCATAAAAAAGGTGCCAAATACGTTCAAAGCAATCAGCTAAGAGACTAAAAGAAAATTACCTGACACAAATGTTTGTTTAGTTGCAAATTAGGTCCATTAAAAACAGACAGTTAAAGGAATATTTAATGAGTGGGCTCTTAAAATCTTTCTATAACCTTAAAGTTCTCCCTAAACGCTTGTTTGGTACTCGGATCCACATTAAATGAAGCTAATTTGTGGCAGGGGTTTATTTCCCTCTTCTTGTTATGCAAATGTCTCCTGAAAACACTTAATCTTGTTCAGTTTTTTTAATAATAACACAAAAACACAAATGCTTTTTCAGTCATTACATTAATAACATGAAGATGCAGAATGTGCAGTGTGAAAAAGGTATTTACACAATAGCAACTCACACTTTCCAATGAAAACTCACATTCAGGGGGTAAAACATGGATTTCATCATTGAGCCTTTGTAATTTTAATAAAATGTCATAAAACTTCACTCTAGCAGGTTTACAGAGACAGGATGTGATACACACATGCTCACAAGTGGGCAAGGAAGGCGACTGATGTACCAGAAGAACACAATCCGACTGACGTCTCAACCTGTAGCTGATGGTCTCTTTTTTTATCTACCAGATTGAGACACCTGTCAATACTTCCCAGGCACGTCATATTTATTATAGTTTGGGAACTTAAAGTTAGTCAACATCATGTGGTTAGCACTCATATGACTCCAGAATACTGAACAGGAAACCAGTTACTCAGCAAACTTTGTTTGTTGTACTTAAATGTTTGCATCATGGCTGCTGCTATGTGGGTTTTTGGGAGCTAGATGTGCCCATATTTGGACAAGAGGAGCGCCAAGTTATCAGCAAACGCAGCCAACCTGCATTTATCAACTTATAGTTGTAACACACAGAGACGCGGATTAGTAGGATATAAATAAAACACTAGAAATGTACTCGCTAAAACTGAACCACAAACTTATTGGATGTTCTCTACCTCACAGAAAATTATATTACAACTCTTACAAACACTCCATCAGCCAAACACACTGGTTGGCTACAGCTGCCCATGCCCTAAATCAAAGCATCAATCACATTAATTTTTAAGCTTTAACCACTTTCGTATAAATGGGAGTCTACTGGGATTGACGGCAGTGGCCACTAAAGGAACTACAGTTTTTTGCACTTACATAATGACTGCTTTTTTGTTTTTTTGTTTTTTTTTTGGGGGGGGGGGGCTTGGAGTTTGCAGACTAACTGCACCACACAGCAAACTATATTACTGGTTACATAATTGCAATAAAAACACTTCAAAAAGATAGAATACGACAGACATGCTTGATATTCTTACAAACACAGCATCAAGTGGCCCAGATGTTGCACCTTGTCTGCAATAAAACCTTTGAATTAAAACTAAAAATACATGAAATGCAAAGTTAGCAAAGTTAATACAGCCGAGAGGCGATGATAGTGAGGGAGAATAGTGGTGCAACGGATCAGGGTTGATCCGTAATCCGATCCGATCAATCCGATCACAGCGGAGTGCGATATAATGAGCGGTATGTATTATTGTAGGGTCTACCTTACAATATAAAGCGCCTTGAGGCGACTGTTGTGATTTGGCGCTTTATAAATAAAATTGAATTGAATTGAGTGGTAGATACAAAGCCCTATATTGCACCATAATTTTTTTTTTTAATAATTGCGTGGAATGAGTCTTGCATTGAATGTTTTTAACGGGCAAAAAAATACTTCAATAAGTAAATAAGTAAATGTTAAATTTTTGTATTGTTTCTTTTTTTGCTGATCCAAAAATTGATCCGATCCAATCCAATCCATGAGACTTTTGACCCGTTGCACCGCTAAGGGAGAATATGCCAATAGTCATGCATCCACCAAATCAACAGCTTTGGGGCACAACCACAGAGCATCTCGTCCTTGCCAGGCACCCCATCATTTGGTAAGTTATCACAGAATCTGCAACGCTCCAACTTAACACTGCAGTCAGTCTGTCGCTCACCCACACTGGCTCATCACTGGCAAATCACAACTCAGCCCAGACACCGCCACCCCTCCCCCCGCCCTCACCCCTCACCATGCTGGTTCTTTGCAGCCCCCTGAGGCTAAACACAGTCATCTCTGTTAATACTGAATGTTAAACTGCTGCAGTAAAGTGCTGTATGGAAGAGAGCCAGCAGTCTCCCGGGCTGCTGTGTGAAATTATGTCCCCGACTTCAGGTAGCTCCGAAGTAAACAAAATATCCTTTTCATGGCTCTCGCGTGTGTCTCAACAAGCGTTTCAGTGTTTCCTGCCACTTCCTGTTTTGGTTTGCTGGGCCCATGCTAGATCCAACCACTTCCTCCTCTCAGAGTTATCTTTACACAGAGAGAAACTCATGCTGCAGATAAGGATTGTGAAACTATTAACACAGAGGAGCAGCCAAAAATTGAAGCACAAGCCTTCATGTACTTCTCCTCAGAAACAAGTGAAAATAAAGCTTGCAGGAGAACAGTCTTCACTTCTATGAAAGGCAGAGCAGCAGAAAACAGGCAACTCAACACAGAGCTCAGGCAGCATAAAGGAAACAAAAGGAAAGAACTCAATCAATATGGTAAAACTCCTGACACAAATTACCCACCATCCCGTAAAGGCCGCCTTCTCCCAACAGATGGGAACCAATTAGCCACCTGACTCCCAGAAAACACTTGGGCAGCCGTGTGGAGCCAAGATGCAAATGAAGCAGAGGGAAAGGTGGAAGCGGACCTGCCAACGTCCTGGGAGAGGAGAAATTAATGGAGGAGACAGCGGAAGTGCGCTTTTGGAAAATGGAAAGAGAAAAAAGGAGAGAAATGATGTATGGAGGGAGCACAGAGAGCTGGACTGAAGATCCCCAGAGAGCTAACAGAAACAAGGGGGGAAAATATCTGGTTAAGGAGGATGTTTATTAATATTGCATTAGCATCAGGTTGATATATCAAATGCCTCAAATTTGACCTACCTGTCATATTTAACCAACTCAAAATGAATCTTTGCAAACTCCAACTGTGGCTCACCAATCAGTGTAGGTGCAGAAAAAAAATGCAAAGTAAGTTTGTGATTTATGCGTGTTAAAATTTACACGAGAAGGCAGGGCTGCATAACACTGTGAGCTATACAGGATCAAAGATCAGTTGTTGTGCTCATGCCTTTGCTCATGGTTTGATGCGTAGGCAATTTGTTGAATTTTTGTGAATGCACACCTCTTCAACTGTTTGTTAATGCAAATGTCTAATCAACCAATCATGTGGCAGCAATTCAATGCATGGTCAAAATAACCTGTCGAAGAGCAAATTGCGCAGCAGAATATGGAAACAAAATATGTGACTTTGAATGTTGCATGGTTCTTGGTCTGAGTTTTTTCAGAGTCTGCTGATGTACAGGGACGTTCACACAAAACCATCTCCAGAGTTTACAGAGACCGATTTGAAAAAGAGAAAATATCCAGTGAGTGACAGTTCATTGGATGAAAATACCTTACTCATGCTAGAGCTCTGAACATAACAGAAAGCAATGGTAACTCAAATAACACCTCATTATGACCACAGCCTGCAGAAGAGCATCTCTGAGTGCACCTCAAACCTTGAAGCAGATGGGCTACAGCAGCAGAAGACCACTCTGAAGTCAAAAACCCAGCACCGGCAAGCTGTTACAAAAACCTTAACCTGCAGGGTTGAAAAATAATCTCCCCGTTTCAACTGACACTGAATGAACGTGCAACATTTTATGATGTTAAATATCAAACGTCTACCCAAGAGCAGAGAAAGAGACAAGCAGCTGGAATAAGATGCCAGGACGAGTTAAGCTCTCCAGAGGACAGTCTGAAAGCTGTGCATGTTTCTAAGGATCCTTGCCTCAGCAACCTTAAAGGCAGTGTTTACCTTCATTCCCTCTGACTGCTCGCAGAAGGCAGGCAGCTGCTGGATGAAGCCAAGTAAATATTGGTAAGTGTTGGTGATATAAGGCGACATATTCCCCCAGAGATTTAGTCGCACTGGTGCTGAAGTGTGCGACTCTGCATAACCTGGACTTCTAACAAGGCCTGCATGGAAATGTAGGGCAGAGATGTTACATTGTTCCCTTGAAAGTCTGTTAAAATCGCTGTTATTTGTTACTAAAAAGAAAGTTGGCTTATAAGGGGGCTGCAACAAGGACCAGAAGAAGACAAATATAGATTAATTTCAACTGTGTGCGTG